TTTTTTTTTTTTTTTTTAAAAAAAAAAAAAAAAAAAAAAAAAAAAAGTGTTTGTAAATTTCCTGATTTATTTCTTCTCCCATTAGGGTAGTAAATTTTTTTTTTTTAAATGATGGATATAACTGCTGCAACAATGTTGAGTTTATACTCCAGACTACAATCTGTGTACTGATGATTGATGATGATGTCCACACACTGATATTGGTTCATTCCAAACAAGGAACAAGGCCATCTCTACACCTCTTTAAAAGGGCAACATTCCAGATTTCTTTCTTACAGCAAATTAAGAAATTGTTAATATACTAGTTTTTCTAATGCAGAATGTGGCATAAGCATAAAAGTTGATCAAGTGAGGTTGGCAGACAGATCGCATGGAGACTGGGAAACGGAAGAAGTGAAGCTGGGGAAAAAGCGAGAGGATCGCAATTTTATTGACGTAAGTTCACAAAAAGAATAAATAAAAGCCAATTAACTGCATGATCGAATATGAAATTCATTTATCTGACATATATTTCACATCCACCTGTAAACTGGAACATGGACCTAAGAGCTGCTAGATCAATTAGGTGATTAACATAACCTGAAACTTTTTAGTAAAAGATATGTTTTAAAAGAAAAAGAAACAGCTTAGTGGAGTTTGGAGAATTCCACTAAGCTTTAGTGGCCTTTATTTTTTCTAAACAGTAGGTTTAATAAGTCCCCAAGAAATAGCTAGCAACAATTTAAGTAAAAACAAGCTTATAAGCTACCTAACTAACTTGAATCTAGCTCCCTTGCTGTAGTAAAAATTTAGTCTTATGAGTTTAAATAGTGTTCTCTTACTTAAGAGTTACTAAAAGGGAAGCCATACAGCGCTACAATAAAACAAATCACATTTTAATCAAAGTAATGCAATGCAGACTGTGTTTATTTTTTTTGTTCCCTTTGTTCCTGTGTTACTGTGTCTTTTGTGCTCACCTCAGGTGTCTCTAAGGATCAGATATACCAACCCATTCATCACATTACTCTTGCCCACTATCTTGATCATGGTGGCCGATATAGTCAGCGGTGCTCTGCCACTGCAAGGTGGTGAGCGCAACTCTTTCAAGGTTACCTTGGTGCTCAGCTTCACCATGTTCCTGAACATTCTCACCAACGTGCTTCCTGGAGACAGCAAGTGCAGCCCAGTCATCCGTGAGTCACGGGGCACACAAAAACAAACCAACTTGTTATGTGCAAAGCGATGAGACAATAAAAAAAAAGGAAAATATAAATCAGCAGCACAAATAACTACAACCATCTTTATGTTGCACAGGAATCCATTTCTGTGTTTGCCAAGTCCTGATGGTGATAAGCATGTTGGTATCCATGTTGTTGACAAGAGTGTCTCAAGATGGGCTGGATTTTTTCACCTCTTTCTTTAAAAGGTCTGTCCCTCAAAATGCAGAAGACAACAAAGAAAACGAGGATGCAGGTGAGTGAGGCTTTGTTGTCAAGGAAACGTACTGATAGTGAAGAGGGTTTTTTTTTTTTTTTTTTAACGGAGTGACAGACTGTCTAATTTTGATCTCTGCAGAGACCAAAGGCGTCATCAGTGTCGTTCAGCAAGGTCTTTCTGAGGACTCTAAAATGCTCCAGAAGATGGTCAGATTCATAGAGGCTGTTGACACCAAACAGGCAGAAAGGGAACGTCATCAGAAACTTGCAGATAAACTGGACAAAATCTTTTTCTGGTTGTATCTTATTTTTAGCTCTGGATATGTTGTTGCCATGACTTATGTTATGGTACAGTACACATGCGACATTGATCATTTTGACTTTTGGAACTAATGCAACATAGAAGACAATGACTAATTAACCCATGTGATCCTACTAGAATATGTGTGTATAGACAATAGATAGACAATAATGATTGTGAAGCCACAGAGACCAGAGATGCAACTATACATTTCTTGTGTTATTCTTTATTTTCTCTGTTAAATAAAACAAATATGTTCCCTACATTTTGATCTATGAGATTTGTTCACATATTGTGAAAATTCACTTACTGCACATTTTATCATTCGCAGCAGATTAATGTGGCATTCAACAAATGTCTTAAACAAACATAAATTGGACTTTTTGCATAAACATTAAAAGTTGTATTCAGAAATATTCAGACTAAAGTACCGGCAAGAAAACAATAATGTTTGTTGCCACCTTGTGGCCAAACATTCACCTGGAGACGAAGTAGTGTTCTCGTCACTCTTGTCCTAAATTATTTTTTTTCCAATTACATTAACAGTACTTAGTTGAAATATTCTACATCACAAGGATATCAATACATATTTGGACAATATTTTGGACCAGAGGAAACAATAGAATTTTCACGATTTATTTTTAATGCACACAACACCTTCTCAGAAATGCTAGTAAATGGCCATTTCATTTTACACATAAACAAACCATAGTGTAATTTATAACAAACAACAACAAACCTTCGGACACAAAAATGCAGCTTAGTCAAAGTAACGAAAGTACCAGAGGTTGGTTATATGTGTGAACTTTCTCCAACATTTTATACGTCCACAAGCTTACAAAAGTTGTGT